CCTTGGCTGCCAACTAGGCCAAGAAAAGTTGTAATCAATTTTTTTTAATCCAATGATGAGTCTGGCGGATTATTGATCAGTTAGTCTTCAAATACAAGCAAACTCAATCAACTCGCCAAAGGAAGGGGTCACCATGTCATAATTGGCTTTTTATTGCACATCCTGTCCATATCTCTTGTGGAATTTTGGCAGCCAAATAGAGATAAGGCTGCATGCAAGAAATTTTGGCAAGCCAACATTCAATTATTTCTTAAAGATAATTGACTAGGTTGACAAAATAAAAATTAAAAAAAAATTAATTACAATGGATTGTTGAAATGGGACAATTTAAGTTTACATAATTGCTTCAGCATTTTTTTCTAATTTTAGTTTATTCATTTTGTATTTGCCATTTTTAATAGATAATTTGACCTCTTTATGCACATATGCTCGTGAATAAATCAAGTCTGCTTAAGTTGTTAAGTAGCTCATTGGTCTCTCCTGATTGATTGGGAATTTGGATGAGTTGGTTTTCAAAGTTAATTGAAATTTGGTACATAAATGCCTATGGAAGTAATAGCTGAAAACAAAATTGATATCATACTCCGACTCCAAATTTAGCCAATAGGACAGTGACAGACTACATTTTAGACTTTTCTATTGAGAAAATTAAGAACAATAAAGAATTTTTCGAAAAATATTTGTTTAACTTACGAATCCATAAAGCTATATTTCATTTTTTCTACGTTTTCAAACTCTTTTAATATCGTTTACAATTTTTCGAAACTGTGAAGTCGTTAATTCTGATGTCTTCCCAAAAAACAAAGTAATGTCAAGTTTGCAAACTTTTGCTTTTTGAACAAATTGCCAAAGATGCTACATTATTCCAATCGTATTGCATTAATTAATTGATTCCCTTGCCCAAACCGGGTTGATTTCAGCTTTCCGAAATGGGCTGGGTACATATAGCTGTTCATTAGCTGTTTCCCAGCTACCCGGTATCTTTGCGTTTTCGTCATTATCTTTATAGCTGGACACCTAATCAGGTGGATCTTCACAATTTCCTCCTGTAGGTTACATAGAAAACATGTTGGTTTAGTGTTTACCCTTAATCTAAGTAGGTGCTTTAACAAGCAATCATGTGTGGTACATAGTCTAAAATCAGCAACGGCTTCGATTAGTTGCCAGTTTTTTATGTCAGAGAGTGTCACTGGCTGCTATTTCACCTTTTTCGAGCTTTAAGTCTGTTGCACCTTGAATTATCTCTTAACTAAAGTCTTCGTGGTGTGGAAAGCATCGGGCGGTCTATGCTTTGCTTAATTGCTGCCCCCTTCTGAGCAAGTGCATTAACAAGCTAATTACCTTTAATGCCACAGTGACCAGGAATCCATTGTAGGATCACTGTTTTTTTACTCTCAGCAACTGATACAGACTTTGCATTCGTATATTTCAGCTGTTTTGGGTGGCTCTTTGCTTCCATTTAAGATTATTGCTGACATTGTGGACGAAGGAATTACTGCTTTTAGTGAATTTCGTATCGAGGCAACGTAATTCAATTATTATTTTTGCAACGGCCCCAATTTCCCCTTTGACGGCATATCTCTAGTGTCTTGCAGCTGCAAAGAAAGCGAGTAGTTGAGAGGAAGCATTTGCACCAAGGTTTGCTTGGTTTCCTATGTACGCCTCATCAGTGAAGACTTCGAGCCATTGATCTGCATGACAGTTCACATTGATTGCCTCAATCTGCCAGTGAGCGCGTTTCTTCTGAAGAAGTGTTTGCTTTTATGAAGTGGCCAAGCAGTTGGATGCAACGCATCTTTGAAACACTATTCTGTTTTCCCTCCTCCTCCCTCTTGACTTTTTTCAATTTGATGTTCCTTCCTACTGTGAAGTCTGAAGTCAACTATAGGGCTAATGATAACCATCAAGACGCCTGCCATTTGATTTAAATTAATAAATAAAATGAATAAATAAATGCACGATTGTGTGCCTTCTCGAGTAATTTGAGAGTCACTTCTGTGGGTATAATGAGTGGCTCAGGGCTCTGCAACATTATTGACTGAATTAACATCTTCAAATTGGTGTTTAATATTGAGCATGCACAGTCCACTACACAATCAGTAAGACGCTTCAGTGCATTCAGTCGATTTGAGATTCGTTCTGCTACTTTAGCAATTTGACTTAACCATATTAGATTTGTGTCAAACGTAAGTCTGAGATAAGTGAGCTCGTTGGTTATCTAGAGTAGTATCCTTGCACTTTAGAAGCAGGTTTATGCTGTGACAGGCCAAAGAAAATGTTTGGAATGCATTTTTCGTGGCGTCGATCAGCATTCTGTTGTTGTAGCACCAGTTTGCTATTAATTTAAGTGCATAATTTAGAACACTTTCCGCCTACTTTTGAGGTTTGTTCTTAGGGACGGAATACAATAGAACAAGACCATCTGCATAAAGTAAGCACCTGATGCCTGTGACAGTCTGTACCAGTTCGGCTGTCATTGATGAAAACATTGAACGAGTGCAACTTGTGACAACTCCCTGTGAAGGACCTGTTTGTAAAAGATTGGATTTGGATGTAACAGTTAAATTCTCATTCATGCAGCCGTTTCTCAAATTGGCCGCTGAAATTTGTAACAAAACAATTTTACTCAGATCTCCTTTTCTATCACGATTAAACAATTACAATCGCAAATAGTACTAAATTTGAATAAAGGTAATATGGTAATATCAAATACGTTGTCGATATGTCAGTATTTTCTTACTAGAAAGCAATCCGTATTGAAAAATCATATATACAGAAGTTAGGATTTGAGAATTTTGTGAGGCGAGAGACGATTAAACTGTACGTTAACAACATTATCAAACAAGATATAATTCAAGGCGCGTTTGGATTAAATTGCCAGTTGTTCATATTTGGTCAAAATAGGTGGACAATTTCTTGGGTTACTTTACTGTAAAAATAAGCCATTATTGGCAATTGGGAGAAATTGTTTTGTAGAAATTAATTCTAATTAACTTAGTTGAAGACGTCAATGGCCATCTTTATCACAAAGATCATATAAAGCCAGACATCGAAATGATTTCGCCAAATCTAATCTCCAACCTTTAGGCATTAATGGCTACATATTGCTTAATATTGATATTCCTACTATAAAATAAATATTATTCTTAACAATTGGCCTTAAAAATAATACCAGAGATACATTTTCTGAACGCATTTGTTAGCTAATTCAAAAAAGGTCGTCATGGTAGAAAGCTATGTCAGTGGAATTGATGACATTATTATTGTTGTTGTTGGAATATGGCGGCCTGGTGGTCTTAGTGTTTGCTGCTCGCTTAGGGTAAAAATCCAATGGAATAAATTGTACGATAACGCGATTCTGTTAATGCTACTACTTTGAATTTATGGAACGCTCTTAATAATTAGCTCCGTACCGTCACTATCTTATCCATGTTAATGACGAACTTGAATAATGGAGATTTAATCACCAGTATATATGTGATATTACAAGCTGTAAAGAAATGTTTGTTTTACGTAAAACGCTCAGTGAATTAACGGAACCTACTTAAGTGGCTAAGTAGCACGCTTGTCAATCCATGATTTATCTCAGTGCGCATGAAACCGATTTCCAATATTAATTAGATTGATGAATTAAGTTTTCGATACAAGTTGTATCTGGATGTTGGTGTTTTATATCGGCTAAATTTAATCAAGAAGATATTCTCTGAAAATTGTCAATTTACTCAATTCCAATTGAGTTTTCTATAAATTTGACCATGGAACGTTATTTGCAAATAAAACTTCAATTCATAGAAACTTTAAAACATTTTATTTATTAATGTTGATTGTGTCGCTGATGTGGAAATTGCAAAACATATAAATTGGTCAAATGTTAAAAGTTTCCAAATAAATATGCGCAAGCTTTAATTTGCATAATGGAAATAGATTTTTTACTAATTCATTCATTCAATTATTAATAGAACATAGTGAGAAGGATATGGTTAGCTGTCTTCACTACCTGCTTCCACGTCTGATGTCAACTTTATTTGGTCACTTTATCAACAATTCGCACCTCCTTCTGGCAGGAGGGTTTGACATGTCAAGTTTAAGAAATCGTCATAATTCTGTGAAAATGGAGATAACATCTAATTGGCAATTTCATCAGCACCATTCCAAATATTGATTGGCAAGGAAAGTGAAAACTGATTGCAACGAGAACGAGAATGTATTTTATAAATTTAAATTGATGCAATCACAAGGATGAAATATCAGCCAAAAATAATTTTCCAACCGAAGTTCAAGTAACTACTTTTAAAAGACTTGATGCGGCCGAATAAAGTCAACTTTTAAAGCCTGATATTCCTGCGTGCAGTCACGTTTAAATTAACTGCCAAATATAACAAAATAATTTTGTAAATATCTTTCTTCATTGTACTCAGGTAAAACCTCTAAAATTAAATTTATCTGCCCTAAGATTTCGAAAGTAAATGTCCAATACCAACGCTACAGTCAACTTTAAAATAAAATCTAAAGCCAACTAGAGATCTAATGATAACTCAAAACGAGTGTCATTTGATATAAATATAAAACTATATATGTTTTTGTATTGTAAAAAATGTTCGTTTAAGAAACTACGTTTTAATTGCCTGTTTAAAAGAATTATTCGTTTCTTTGTTAGTCAAATTAGATCAAAACCTCGCATATGAAACTCCTCGTTTACGCTCCATTTTAAAATTCGCATCAAAATTGAGTTTTCAAAAATGCAAGGTTTGACTTCAAAACGCTTATTGTGCTTGCCATCGTCGTTTCATGAATCATCTTAAATCGGCCTCAAGGAGCAACAGAAAATTCAAATTTGCTACAAATTAAATCGTTATAATATGGCATACGGCTTAAATTTTTAATTTTTAAATTTATTTTATAATCATAAACTAAAACAACATGCTTGTTTAAATGAAACATGAAACTTTGAAATTGCGAGATTCTTTGCAATCAAATATTTAAATAACCTCTTTATGATTCGTTTCAATACCTCTTGTTTGATTTTCTAGCATCTCTGAAATTTTGGTATGAATCTCATACTATTTGAATAAGACTTAAGTTCCTCAGTTATCTGTTTGCATTTCAACCAGTTCCTCATATTTCCACTTATACTTTCACGTCATGTGGAAACCACAATTTATTGACATATTTTTCTTCATTTTCTGCATTGGCAACTTTATTTAATGTGTGGCTGTAATTATGAGGATTGCAGTTGGCAAGCAATGAATTTGTTCACGTCATCATTCCCGGACGCTCCCACATGGAGAAATGTGGCTCAACCTAAAACTTGGAAGGCTCTCAATCAATGGCATCAAAATGGTTTCATGTCTAATTACACCATGTGAATCGTACATATAAGGAATGAACAGTATACGACCCATCAACAAATTAACAATCCTTTCGGCTTCAAATACCATTTGGCTTTAATAGATAAATAAAGTCTCGTGCAATTATAATACAGAAGTTACAAATTTAGAGAACCATATTTGTGGCAATAATTATGCAAATGAAATCCAAAACGACTGCTGCAAGTTATTTTGAACCGTTGCGGATAGTTTTACTTTCGCTTAAATTGACAATAATTCTAATAATGCCTAACTAATTGCATTTTGTATAATTTTATGCCTGCTCTTTATCCAGTTTCATAATTTAAATAATTTACAATGATCAAATAAATTATCCCACATGAAAACAAGTTTGTAAACTTGTTTCTATGTAAACAAGCGTATTTCACGAAATTAATGCTGTGCCCAAATCGTACAAATGCATTTAAAACCGAGCGGTTCCTTATCGATTAATAATTAATGCTCGTTTGAGAAACAGATTTACTCAATGAAAGACTCATTTAAAAATGATAAACGTGAAATTCAAAACCATATGTCGTCCGTCCACAATTTCTACCCCAATTGATCCATTGATTTTACAGGCGAAGTATTTCTGCATGGAAATTTCTGATTTTCAAATCTTGATAATATAAATTTTCGATACTTCTACCTTCCTAATGAACAACATTGATTCATTCGCATACTTTTCAAATATGAAAAAGTTATCAATGTCAGATATTTCAATGACTAAATATTTATTCCTTGAAAAGCAATTTCAAGATATAAAGCTTTTTGTCCAAAATAATGTGGAGCGCTATTCATAATGCAATGGAAAGAATGAATAAATAACAAAATATTCATACCTCTCTAATGCTTTAAAGCCAAGCTATTTAATAAAAGTAAAAAGAACACAAATTTATCAGAAGGCAAATGTAATTTGGGTTGAAAATTTGACAAGTGACATCGCTTACCAATTATGCACCTCGAGTTAATTAGATAAATCCTTAAGGATTTTAATGATCTCTTTTCCTCATCAATTATATGTAGAGAATTGGAATTAACCTTGCCAGGATTGCCATCAGAAATTTTAAAGACTAGTGGTTCGATACGCTGTAATGATAATAAATATGGAAATTCAAGTTTAAATAAACAGGGAAATTTTATAATAATAATAATCATATAGTTGAAATCAAAACCGAAATGAATTGTTTTGAAGCTCCAAACGCGCTCGCTGTACCTTGAGACAATTAATGTCAACTATCCTGAAGATCAATTTCTCGAAATCTTCAATGATGGGCCATACATTGAAAACCAAGCCAAACTTTGTGCAGAGGTTTTTTCTCAACACTTCTCTTGCAACGTAGCTGCATGACAGAATAGATCTGCCAAAAGCCATATTTTCCAACTTGCAGCCTTAATTTGCCTTGGCTGCCTTCTTTTACTCCAGTTAGAATTCCACTTGCAACTTGCCGGTATTTAGGTAGATGGTAAAGGGTGTAACCTGGGAATTGGTAGTGCTTCAGTTTGTCATCCGAAATGTTAGCTTCCATAATTGTGAAAATGTCTACATCATAGGTTTGTAGGATTTTCTGTATTTGGATCTTTTTGTCCGGAGACATTCCTCCAGCATTCCACTGGAGGATCTGAAGACGTAGTGATTCGCCCTGACGAGGGCGATTTTTCTTATAGCCTTTTTTAAAGCTAATCATATTTGATCGAAGTCAAAAACGAATGCCGAGTGATAGACTCTTTTGCCGTAAGAAAATACGTTGTCCAGGGTGCACCACGAGGAGGTAAGTCTATCGCGCACCCCCTTTCCATAAAGCAAATTTTTACAGGAAAACTGTTTCATAAATTTATGGAAATTAAAACAGAAACTCGAGATTTACAACTTCCATATCAATTTTGCAACGATTAAATTTCTACTTAACCCTTTAAGTGAAATGTATTAATTCGTCATTTTAATACAAGTAAATGATCCGACTTAATCTAAACACTTTCAAACATTAAGTTAAAGATCATATTTGTGCGCGAAGGATAAATTTCAATTTCGATTTTAATGACGAGTAGCAAATGAAATAAATAATTTTTTCACAAAAATGCCTTTGAAATAAGAAATTAAAATTTTCTACTTCCATTAAAACGCATCTCATGTGGTCATTGAAGTGAAAATCAAATGCAAACAGCTTCAAGCGCAAACTTCCTAAACCCTCATAATGCCTTTTAGTAACACACTTAACCCTCATTACGTCTTTGGGAGACAACGCTTTATTGTATATTTATTCGGCAGCCGATTTATTTCAAGGCTGCACTCCGGAAACTAATGAAAAATGTTTAAAACCCGGTGCCACCAAAAATTATGCTTCCAAAATCCTCACTTGAAGTATAATGCGCCATTTGAGCTAGTCAATATTTGCAAAATAGTAAGCTTATTTTAAAAGTCTAATCAATTTTTCGACAACCAAGCATCGCTTTAAAATTTAGCTTTTTGATTGAAAAAAAGGTGGATTGGTTATATTTTTAATTATTTGATCTTCATTTATACTTAAATGAATAAGTAGTAGTAGTGTACTTTTCATATGCTTCAGAATACCCTTCGTTGTTGGATCTGGTTTTATAGCAACGCAGAAACGCTTCATGAAATCAGTTTACCTAACCTAACAGAATAGCTTTTTATTTGAACGTTAAAAATTAATTCATCACTTTAGCTTACATGAAATCTACCAGTAACTATTGCGTTCAATTATAAAACTGTGTCATATTTGACATCTACAAGTTAATTGAATATGCATCTATGATAATTTCCATTCGTTAATGCACTCGGTATTCCCATCAAACGTCATTCATAGTGCCTCACAACTCTACCGCTTCTCAATTCCCTCCACCTATGGGACCCTTGAAATGGCATAATTTCAAACCACGTACGTGTGAAATAATAAAACTTACTTTCGTTCATGTTTATTTTAAAAGTAGTATTAAGGACATTAACGTAAATGAAGATATCATGGTGTCGTCTGAATTTGATCCACTGATCAAATTTCATAAGGGGCATTTAAAAACACTTAGTACTGTTTATTTTGTGCGCTTGGAATTATATTTTAAATTATTCTTATCAGCCTACGAGCTTTTTGATTAAATTCATATATTTGATGTTTCGGGAAGTTATCTTGGAAACACGAAGCTGGAAATCATTTTCAGCACTGACTTTCATCATTGAAATGCATTTCACTGGCGCGTGGATATTACTTACTCATTCAAGTAAACTTTGATTTTTACTTTTAGTATTCAAGGAAATCTACACATTGAAGATTAAAAAATTTTGTTCAACGGTCAAAAGCCATATTTTCCACCTTGCAGCGTTAATTTGCCTTGGCTGCCAATTAGGCCAAGAAAACTTGTAATCAATTGTTTTTAATCCAATGATGGGTCTGGTGGATTATTGTTCAGTTAGTCTTTAAATACAATCAAATTCAATCAACTAGCCTAAAGAGGAAGTCACCATGTCGTCATTGGCATTTTATTGCACACCCTTAGCATATCTCTTGTGGATTTTTGGCAGCCAAATAGAGATAAGGCTGCATGCAAGAAATTTTGGCAAGCCAACATTCAATTATTTTTTTTGAAGATAATTGACGAGGTTGACAAAATAAAAATTGAATAAAAATAAATTACAATGGATTGTTGATATGCGATAATTTAAGTTTACATAATTGCTTCAGCATTTTGTTTTATTTTTAGTTTATTCGTTTTTTATTTGCCATTTTAATAGATAATTTGGCCTCTTTATGCACACATGCTCGTGAATAAATCAAGTCTACTTTAGTGGTTTAGTAGATCTTAGCTCCCTCATGGTTGCTTGGGAATTTGGATGAGTTGATTTTTAAAGTTAATTGAAATTTGGTGCATAAATGCTACAAACAAAATTGCTATCATACTCCCACTCCAAATTTAGCCAATTTAACAGTGGTGTTTTGACTTATTTATTAAGGAATTTAAGAACAATAAAGAATATTTAGAAGGATATTTGTTAAACTAGAGAATCCATGAATTTACAATTCGTTTATTTCTATGTTTTCAAACTCTTTTAATATCGTTTACAATTTTTCGAAACTGTAAAATCGTTATTTCTGATGTTTTTCTAAAAAAACAATGAAATTTTAAGTTTGAAATCTTTTGCTTTTTGAACATTTTGTGAAATATGCTACATTATTCCAATTGTATTGCATTAATGCATTGCGGCCTGGCCCAAACCGGGTTGACTGTGGTTCTTTAAAAAAACAATTAAAGTTGCGTTGCATTTTGCAATTGTGCAAAAAGAAGAATTATGAGTACAATAAATATAGTAACATTGAGGCCCATTGCATAGAAAAAATTAGAATTATGCTCTTCATAATCAAAATTAATAAGGTAAAATTCAACCGAATAATAAAAAACAGCAGTAAAATATATTGCAAACAAAATCTTAGCAAAAATAAATAATGTGAAAAAAATTCTAAATTTTTTAACCTCTCAAATCACTTATAATTCTACTGCTAAAAAGAACAATTTTTTCACCAGTGAAGTCATTTTAAAGGAGTTATTGTTACAAAACAGAAACGTGAAAATGAGCTACCATTCTTTCTAAAATAACAATGAAATTTCAAGTTTGCATGCTGTACCAATGATGGGTCTGGTGGATTATTCTTCAGTTAGTCTTTAAATACAAGCAAATTCAATCAACTAGCCAAATGAAGGAATCACCATGTCATCATTGGCATTTTATTGCACACCTTCAGCATACCTCTTCTGGCATTTGGGCAACCAAGTAGAGATAATACTGCATACAAGAAATTTTGACAGGCCAACATTCAATTATTTTTTTAAAGATAATTGACTAGGTTGACAAAATAAAAATTGAATAAAAATAAATTACAATGGATTGTTGATATGCGACAATTTTAGTTTACATAATTGCTTTAGAATTTTGTTTTAATTTTAGTTTATTCATATTTTATTTGCCATTTTTAATAGATAATTTGGACTCTTCATGCACATATGCTCGTGAATAAATCAAGTCTCCTTAAGTGGCTAAGTAATTAATCGCTCTCTTATGACTGACTGTTAATTTAGATGAGTGAATTTTTAAAGCTAATTGAAATTAGGCACATGAATGCCTATGGAAGTAATAGCTGGATTCGAAATCGTTATCATACTCCGACTCCAAATTTAGGCAATAAAAATGTGACAGACTACAGTTTAGACGTTTTTATTAAAGAAAATCAAGAAAAAATAAAGAATATTTAGAAGATAATTTGTTTAACAGGAGAATCCATGAAGTTATGATTCATTTATTTCTACGTTTTCAAACTCTTTTATTATCGTTTACAATTTTTCGAAACTGTGAAATCGTTAATTCTGATGGCTTTCTAAAAAAAACAATGTAATGTCAAGTTTGCAAGCTTTTGCTTTTTGAAAATATTGCCAAAGATGCTGCTTTATTCCAATCATATTGCATTAATGGTTGTGGCCTCGCCGAAACCGGGTTGACTGTGGTTCTTTTAAAAAGCAGTTAAAGTTGAGTAGCATTTTGCAATGTACTCAAAGAGAAGAATTATTAGTACAGTAAATATAGTAACATTGAGGCCCATTCCAATGAGAAAAATAGAATTACGCTTTTCGTTATCGAAATTATTAAGGTAAAAGTCAATGAAGTAATTAAAAGTAGCAATATAATATATTGGAAACAAAATCTATGCAAGTCACTTGAAATGTTACTGTTAAAAAGAACTATTTTTTCACCAGTAAAGTCATTTAAAAGTTGGTATTGTTACAAAACAGAAACGTGAAAATGGGCTACTAATTAAGTCACTTCTTGAATTCCCCATTTAAGCACATTGCTTCCTAAATATTCTTTATTTTTCTTCATTTACTTAATGAATAAATCAAATCACTCTCTATCACTGTTGTGTTTGCTAAATTTGGAGTGGAATCAATGCTCATTAACTATAGTTATATTTTGATAATTCTTTTGAGCTGAGCAACGATAATCTAAAACTGGTTTTTGAAGCTGGGTGGACATGTTAGTTGAGACAATATTTCGAGCCAGTGGTGGAAGTTTTCCGAAGTCAGAGTGCTGAATGTTTATCCAAATTAAAAGAATGTGTATGACAAGCATATAAAGTACTACCTTATGAAATAGCAACGGACGATTACTCTGTTAGCTTGCATGTTTTAAATCTCTTTTGAATTATAAAATGGGTAGCAGTGAGTTGGTGAGGAGATTTACGAATTACGAAATATTAATCCAAAAGATAAAAAGTGAGAACATCTGAAAGGGGGATAACATAAATAAAAAGACTTTTGTCAGAATAGGAACGAGCAAAGTTTGAAATTATAAAGAAGTTACATATTTCATTGCTTTACAATACATTTCGACTCGTAATCCTCTTCAACCTCAAGTAATGCGACAACGTCTTTACAAACACCAAGTTAAAGGCTGAAATAAGTTGACTTCAAGTAAAAAATTGAGACAATTAAGAAAAATATTTGCCTAAGAAGAAATTTCTAAGACGCCCTTGTAGCACAAATATAAATTAGGACCCAACTGATGGTCATTGCTCTTATATTAGTAAATTGCTTTATGCTACCATCACAATGATGCTAAATTGATAAAAGACAAGACGATTCATTTAAAAATTTCAACCAATCAAATCACATACATTTGCATTGT